AAACTAATCTTGTCAATTTTGACATTAAATCATGGGATCTATTTTTTTTTCCTGTGCTTCATATAGGATTTAAATCATTCCCTCGTTTCTAAGTCATTACTCTATTTCCGCTGCTGTATCTTTCAAAGCACTTGAATCATAACATCATGAAACAAAAAGTAGGGAGGCCTATCATTAAGAAGTATATTCTTTATCATCAGTTAATTGATGCTTGGAATAAACTTGCTGGTGAGTTGACGAGTGCACACACACTCATGAATAATTGAATTTTAAGTCTGGATGATTAGAAGGAACATCGTGGTACTTGACCGGTGCTGACTAAAATAAAGATGCACACGCTTCCTTGTCAGCGACTGAAGTGTAATATGTAGGTTAAAGATGTACTGTCGCTTGCAAAAAAAAAAAAAAAATCATAACAATCATTTTTGAAATTTACTTGCCCATTTTGAAGTAACATACAAATTATCAACTTGAACAAGAAATTAGTGTATTTAAAAAATGCTTACCCATAAAAACCATAATTTTACAGCGAAAAATGATAGAAACCCTTCCAGTCACTGGAAGTGTTTTATTATCTTTATTATAATTATCCAGTTAAAAAAATCAGGGATCAACACACTTTTTTAATTTAATAATTTCTAAGCTAAGGTCTATGTTTGCTGCCATCTACAAAATATACCGGCGTACATAACGAAGATCAAAGATTATAAACTTATAAGATCTTATTCTTTGGTATACAATTAATGACTTGTTTGCACATGGACAGGAATGAAACCGGGTCCCAATCAACATTTTACGTAATCTCGAAGGAGCATCCTCACTAATAAATAGAAAATATAAGTACAGTATTACAATTACCTATAGATACAACTAAGAACACGGTATGTTTGTGAGAAACGGTTGTACTCCCCGCCTTGTTCTGATTGGTAAGTTGTTTAAGTTTGATTGACACTTAAAGCGCAGTGTCGGTTCGGTCCGCTGGTAAAACACGATCTAGGCCTAACGATTTGTGTGTGTAAAAAGAGCCCCTGGTTGACTTTCTGATTGAGAGCGTAGCCTGGGCCTAGATAATACTATATAAACTAGATGGGGAGTGTTGGACATCCATCCTACTAAACCAGGTACCGTGTACCGTGAAAACGTAAAGGGCGTATTTCTAAATCACTGATTAGTACTAAGCCTAGCAATATTCGCTTAAATAGACATAGGGCCTAGCCCGGCCCGGGAACCAGTCAATTCGAGCGGATGCCACTTCGAGCGAAGGCGAATTCGAGCGGAAGAAGATCCACTTTGTTTACCGTGAAAAAAAATAATCGTCACTCGTCTTGTGTGTGTGCTTCTCGTGCATTCTAGTAAAACATACACTTTCTTCTTTTTTAAGCTGAAAAGTGCGCAATTCTATTATAGTTTTAACTTGTTAGCGGCCATCTTGGTATTGGTAGGGATTATGACCGGTTGAGCCGCCGACAAGTTGAGCCACATTGACTACATTCACTGAAAGACGCGCTTGGCGTTCCATAGAAATTACCGGCGGCTCAACTTGTCGGCGGCTCAACCGGTCGCGGTTTTTTTTTCCGTACGAAACATTTGCATGAAACTTCACTCGGGCCATCTCGGAGTGACTCGAGTGAGTACGATACGAGGAACAAGAGCAGACACTTCGCAATGTCGTGACGCTCGAGTTTTACTATTATTGCTCTTTCTATGTTTACCTACGGTAGGCCTATGAAATTTCACGGACCTATGTGATGTACGTCACTGTGTAACTAACTGTGACCTTCTTGGATGTTATTAAATGTTAGTATATTATCTACAACAACAACAGCTAGTACCTCCTGTTATACAGTGTAGATAGGTACAGTTATACCAAAGGGTAGAGAGAAAGAGGATAATGTATAGGCCTAACTACAGGCTGATGTCTTACCTAGGCCCCTCCTTAAACTAGGCCTAGGGTCAGGCTGACACAACAGTCACGCTTCACATACTGACATGGACTGAAATTTTTTTTTTGGGGGGGGGGGAATAATTTCAGCATTAATTACCCTTGGCCTAAACCTTGTAATGAAGAACCTACAGATACTGTACTATTTACTAGGCCTATAAATAATAATCGCCCTGAGGGGAATATCTTTTGTGTTATTTCCCCTTAACGTCGTTTTTTTAATTGTTCTCTAATAATAATAATAATAATAATAATAATAATAATAATAATTATAATAATAATAATCATTTCAGCATATAATTACCTTGGCCGAAGGCTTGAAATGAAGAACCTACAGATACTATATGTTATTATATTAATAACTAGCTCATTTTTACATTCATTTGATGTTTTGCCATTTTGGCAGGTCTTATGGCATCCAGTATTTTAGAGCTGCCTATTCTCAGCTCTTCTCTTAATTTGAAAATAACTGTCATTCTGTTTTCCTTACTCCTGTCTCTTATCCACATCTACAATTCTACTGTTCTCATATTTAA